ACTGTTTAATCTGTTAAATGCTGTAGCTTTTGCTTCAGCAAATTTAATTCAGGCACTACTGCAAAAGTCTTAAGAGTTACCCAAGGTATAAATCCAGATGTTCAAAAGCAATTCCAGCAAGCTACCCCATTTGTTAGGGCAGGGCTCCCCAAACTTAGTCCACTAAGCCTTGTGGACTTCAACTCCCAGAATTCTCCAGCCAGCATAGCTAGGAGTCTTCTAGGAGTTGGAGTCCACAAGGCTTAAAGTTACCAAGTTTGGAGACCTCTGAGTTAGGGTGACTGGGGCTGATAGGAATTGCCCTGCAATAACATCTGACGTATTTAATAAAAATGGAGGGTAATTATTTCCAAACAGAAATGTGCACAGTCCTAGATGTGTATAAATGATCTGGTTTGGGTTTCAGTGTGTATGGATCCAAGGCAAGAGAGATAGGAAACTGACAGCGGTTGGTATGTGCTGCACTTTGACATTGTCAGTGACTGAAAGGAGGGACAGAGGAACCAGAAATTTGAAGATGAGATAATGGGATAAACCATGCCGAGATTGGTTTTTTTTTTTAATAAAGTTTTATTTGGGTTTTCATACACGCAAAACACAAGTAAAACATCTTTTTTGAAAATAGCATGGTCCCGGTTTGAACTTTATACAGACACAAAACTCAATTTCATGCTCCTTTTTGTGTTCTATTCCATATCTTATACTATTCTACATTTTCTATATAGTTTTTCCCCTCTTTTAATTTTCTCAATTTTATTTTGATTATCTCATCTCAATTCAAATCATTATATTTATACTTTTGTCTGTTCTGTTTCAATTTCATATTATCTTTTCTCATTAAACAAATTTTCTCCTGTAGTTACCAATTGGAGTATGACACCTTTATATCTTTTAATTACATCCATTCAACTCTTATTTAAACTTCAATATATACCTTAAAGTTATGACCTTCAATATAATGCATAATACATAAATTCCAATCGAATTCTGCTTGGTACATTCTTATAATACACACTATATTCTTTTTTAAAAAAAGATCATAAATATATGTAATTATAAACCCTTGTTCCATTCCAATTCAGTTCTATCATTAATAATCATTAACATCTTAACATCTTTAACACTTCTTTTCAATTAAATATCATACTTCCTTAAAGACTGAAAGGAGGGACAGAGGAACCAGAAATTTGAAGATGAGATAATGGGATAAACCATGCTGAGATTGTTGAGAGAATGAAAGAAGGGAAGATGAGATGTAATGTGCTTAACCTTTGCTTATTCACCCTGTCTGGATTTTATTTTGTCCCAAGCCTGGAAACAAGCATTTTAGGGTCTAGTTCTGCCAAAGCATGCTTGGCTCCAAATGAATTCCTGAAAACACAGTGGTTTTGTTCAATGTTCAAAAGAAACATTTTGTGTTGTGCAAACCCCTTACCTCCCACACATCTTTCAGTAATTATATGTTCAATGTGGGATTAAATTATGTCTTCTACTTGTGAAATAGCCATTGCTGCAGTCACATGGTGAATAGCACATTATTTTAGCTTTTCCCTAGCCACATTGTTAAGCTTCTTTAAGTATACTGTACATCTCACAATATCAATAAACTTTGTCCTGAATGGTAGACCATATTTAACCCAACAAAAAAAAAAAAAGAACAGCAAGTTGTTATAATCAAATATGAAGAGCTGTGCTCAGATAACTAACTCCATGTGTTGTACTTGAAACAAGACTGGAGATATTCAATCTTGTATTTGACAAGTGGGTGTGTACAAATTGTGATAAGCCTTTGCACCATGGTTGTGTCATGTGCATGTAATTATTGTTTCTATATTCGATATGGATTTATTTTCTGGAATTTAAGCAACTGGCTGGCAACAATTTTCTAGCATCAACTGCTACTGAACAAAACCTTTAGGACTGATGGAAAGTGATTTTGATCTGCAACTGTTTTCTTTCTGAATGGAAACATGCAAGAAGTTAAATACAAGAAGCTAATCCTGAGAAGAATGCCCTTCCTGAGGTTTTGTTGTTTTTCTTGAAAATGTGCCAATTTGCCATCAAAATTCAACTATGATGGAAATTCCTACACTTCAGCAAATGAATTTCAGAGACGTCTTGGTAGTACATGTAATATTTGCAACACAAGTAGAATGTAACTATAGACGTGTGTGTACATGTGAAAAAAATAAGAATCAAGATTAATGGGTGCTGAATAAATGTAGACAATATAGGAATAATCCATACAAAAGAAGTAGCTGGATATTTGATCATATAGAATGAAGATCAAATCACAGAGGATAGAAAAATGTGGATTTACGTAAGCACGATTTTCTTTCTTTCCTGTCTATAATTTATTTTGCTTACCATTTGCAGTTTGAATATTGCCTATCCCAAAATGGAACACTTGATAGTTTGTGGGGAAACACCCATGGCATATTTAGAGTTCTCGTAAAAATGCTGACTGTACAGGCAGGCCCAGCCCGAAATACACATTAAGCAGATGGCAGGTAGGTGAGATTCTTTCATCACGCTCAGGAAAGCCAGTTGCCAACTTCTCTTTTGTCGTTCTCTCTTTCAGGCACCGACACTTCAAAACAAGGTGGACTCTTTCACCATTATTATTAAAAAAAATTATAATGGGGGATATGTTAGGAAAGTCTAGAAATTAAGGTGCTGGCATCTGACAATTTGCTCTGTTGATGTGCTTGCTGCCCAGTTATTTCTTTTAATTAAGAATCTAAAATAATGCTGAAACTAGTGTAGGAGGGAATCCAGTGATGCCAAGGTGTCTAGGAACACATTAATAACTTGTGCATCACTATGCCTATCCTTGCTCCACGCTATGACAGAAATTAAGGCAATGCCTTTTAAAGGCTTACTGAACAAAAGCACCAGCAGAAGGCATCTATTTAGGTGCTTCTACTCTCTAAGAAGCCTTAAATTAACTTGAAACATTAAAAATTGCAATTTAAACATTTTGATGCAGCAAGGCGTAGAATGCTCATAAAAATGTTTTGCTAATGCCTTCCTGCTGTTCTATAGAAATGATTACTTTACAATAATGTTGCCTTGACAGTGTATAGTCCTTTCATAATACAGTCAGGATGAATGTGCATAACTGCTCTCAATTATTTACAGAGGAGCATAATTAAAACTAGTGTTGACTTAACTACAACAGCAAAGTCAGATGATGCATATGAGACATGTTCCAGTGTTAATGTTTTGATTTCACTATAAATTTGTTGCTTGGTGATTAACATTTGCTGATTATTCCAGTCACAAACCTACCATTAGAGTACACTGGAAAGCTTACAATATCCCTCTTATGCTAGATAACATCAAAGGAAGGAAGGCAAAGGTGCACATAAAATTGCATTAGTTAAATTAGGGATTTCGGAACAGAAGTGTATTGTTTTTGTTGTTCATTCATGTTCATTATGGAATTTCCGGTGGGGGGGGGGACTTCATTATACAAATGAAATTTAAAGTAATTGTTTCATTTCATCACTGTATAATTGCTAAGCCACAAGTTGTGTCCTACATAACTGTGTAAAAGCTGGACACACGTAAGCAGTGAAAACCTCAAAATTACATACAAATAGTTATTTGTATTTAGATAAAACTGGCAAAAGCATTTCTTTAAAAAAAAAACATGTATCAGAGTAATTTATCCTCAATTTTAAAAAAATCATACTTTATGTAAATGAATTACCCAAGAACACTTATAGCAAACAAGCCAGATCTATTGCTTAGCAACTCAGCAATTTGTTATTGGCCAATTCCACTTGATAGAAGATTATACTGAGCCCTGTTTTCCTCACTTTCACCTATGAAACAAGCTGGTTCCTCCATTCAAGTAAATAGATCAGCTTCAAGCAAAAGATGCATTCATGGCATGGCTGAAGCCAAATGTGGAAGGCTGGCACACTTTAGGCATGCATTATTAAGAAAAAAATCTTAAGATAACAATGGAAAACTCATATCAAAATTAAGTAAAATAGTAACGTTCCCAGGATCTGTACTGAATAATAAAAGGTAAAATATTCAACATAATTCTGAATATTTGCATCTCAAGCATCTGAAGATTGTGTCATAAAAATAAAACGAACAGCAAAATAGTTCTTAAAGAGGGCACCTGTTGTAGATTATTTATTAGCAGAGTTAACTATGGTTGTCAAGGTTCTGTTTTTGTTGTTAAAATATTTAATGCCCTCCAATTAAATGTAAAAAAAATTATTCAATCTAGTCCAATATGTGATCACAACAGAAACATTAAACAGCACAACAGAATAATGGTTTTGCTACTGAATTAAAAATAATTCCACATTATTCACAGTACATTTGAGTCAGAAGATACAGAATAGTTTCTGAAGTTTAATCATAGAATAAATTTCAAATCCATACACTGCACCAGGTGACATGAGACTATGTGTTATCTGTTTAAAAAAAATCCAGCAGGTAACAAAGGGCTAGTGTTCATACCAAAAATAATACTCACAAGACTTTTCCTCAAAAGAATTTTACAAAGTATTTATAGCACTGAAGATCCTTGAAGAAATCCAGCAGTTTGCAAATACCCCTCTCTCTCTGTAATTCCAGAGTCCAACTGAATTAAACTTGTAATTCTTCTCAGTAGTTAGAAGATACAACTAGTATTCTATACTTCATATTTCTTCACGTACTTTAATACTGGAATACTACTTGGTCATAATATACATTTTTAAAATAGTACATTTCTATAGTTAAAATAATGTTCACTTCAGAAAATCATACTTTGTTAGCATACATTATTGCAAATGAACATGAAGCCCATTTTGTTTAATTTCTGATGAAGAACTATTTACCAATTCTTAAAAAGAATAACTTTCTATCGTTTACAGTGAATATTACACTGTTGAATCTAGCATTATCTAGTTCTCCAATGCTGCTGAAACAAATTGCCACCAGTAATCCCAGGAATTGGAATTGATTACATAAATATGACTTCACATTGATAAGCTTATTTCTTTTGTTGAGAAAAAGATAGCTCAAGTACCATTCCTAAATCTCAACTCTTTATGTTATAAGAAACCCATTCTGTTTACTAGAAAAGGGTTTCTCTATGTCTGTATGTAGAATTAGGACCACTACTACAAGTATTTGCTGGGAGGTTCCATCAAAATCAAAGACACTTAGAAATTGTATTCTCAAAACAAAACCAGTAAAGTGCCAGATGTCATAGGAGTAAAATATTAAAACAATTTCTATTTAAAAAAGCCCTACTAGTAAATACAATTTGTATTATGTTTATAGTTTCCTGAATACTTTTGGAAGTATAGGCAGAATACTTCTACATATAGCTGCATGTTATCAGTCCTGGTTTTGAATCTTACTTTTATATTTATCTTGAACTAATAATATCCATCATTTGACTGAGATTCCATAGTACATTGGTACAAAACAATAACTTCAATATTGCAACTTGGTTACAAGCAGATTGTGATTCACTTTTTTCATTTCACAGCAGGCAAATGAGACTCAATTATATGTAGTACAACTTACAATGCAAGGACTAAAGGTAAACCATCAGATGAAACTTTTAAATAAAAAAATGTTATGTTAATATACCAAGTGATTATTAAGAACAGGCATATGTTCAGTTTTTAACATTCTAGAAATGTCGGTTATTTCGACAGGTAGTTGTTGACTAGCAAAGAATTATGAATTTACTGCAATGAGCATACAAAAGATATTTCAATATAGTCTGCACATAATTTATTAACTTCGTAAGTGTTTGGCTGTTTCAGAAAAACCCCAAAAGGCAATATATCCCCACAAGAAATGGATTCAGATGTCTCCTGCCACAAAGAAAAACACATTGATGAAATAAAATTACATTCTTAAGCTTAACAACTAAGTAGAATTCACCTTGACATTATACAGTCTTTTATTAGTCTATGTGGAAAGGGGAGAGATACGAAATGCAGCAGCATTTCATCCAATCTCGGCTCCTGTAGCTAACTAATAGAATTGTCACAGAATATAGGAAATGAGATTGTAAGAGTCTGTCAGGCATACTGTAGCCATTTATGCCCCTTCTTGCTCAGGGTAGTTTAAAATTTTCCGATGAGCTTGTCGCAAATATTGCTGCTGTTTGAAGTAGACTTTGAAAGCTCCTTTTATAGCAACAAAAGCAATTCCACCCTAAAAATAAAAGGGAACAATTATTCAAAACCTACCAGAAAAATTCAATTTTTTTAATGTGGCTTTTTATATACATTTGTAATATGCCTTGAAGTTAGGTTAATTAAAGCTATTTTATATAAATACTGGAGATGTGCCATTCCCTATCATAATGTTATTCTGAAATGTTTTCTCTTATAAAAAATATTTCATGCTGATTTTATACATTATCTTGGAAGGGTTTTCTTTATTCATTAAATGGGAGAGAGGTGTTCTTTCTGTAATTTCTCTCCCCCTGAGTTCAAATGACCTTGAGGAATCAGATTTTGATTCTAATTTCTCTCAATTTCTCAATAATCTCTGGGAAATATTATGCTATAATTCTGGGTAGCATCTCCATTCATAGAATGCACATCTCCTTTTTTCACTTCACTTTTTTCAATTTCTTCCATGATCTCCTTGCTTAGAAGTTCAGTACCTCCTCAAAACCAGCAAGTCTAACACCTTTTTCAACGTTTGTTTCATGTCTCTCTGATCCAAATTTACCACTTATTTTGCTGAACAAGAGCATAATAGAATGTATTTATATTCTTATTCTTTGAAGTTTCATTTTCCATCCTTTAGCTAAACTAAAAATGCTTAATCCAGTACAGTGCTGCAAAAAAATTAAAAGTCATTGTCACCTCATCAGTTTACTGAATATCTTCATCCTCTGTCAAATGTCATCTCCTCCATTTTGATCTTTTTGTAATACTGCTCCCAGATTTGTTTTCAGAACACTTCAATATTCAACCATAAATCTGAACACTGGTTTTTTTTTTTGCCTAATCTTGGATTCAGTCCAATTTTCATGCACTTACCTTCTATGCTGACTAGGGCCTTGTTTCCCCACTAATCTCAGATTTTGTATCCCAAAATCTCTGTCACTGCTTGCCTTTCCAATTTCTTTGGAATTTCTTTCTTGCCTTTCTTATTTCTTTCCTTTGCTGCCTGCTAAGTGATGCTCTTTATCTTATACTCTCTTAATCCCACCTTTTGGGTTAAGCCTTTGACAAAATTCTTCAGCAGCTATCCTCCCCGTTTCTCAGTGGCAAGCACTGCATTTCTCCACATCATCAAATTCCATGTGTGTCAAGCTGTTAACAGCACCACGAAGCAAGGTTCAGCCTTATTAATAAGGTTTAATGCCAGGAAGGGATTAGATTACAGAATCCTGGAAACTAAATAAGAAAACTGTCTTCTTAATTTATTAATCTGTACTTTAATGAAAGTTCTATATGTGTTGCCCAAATTTCTTTCTTATATATTCCCTAACTGATGGACTGAGGCTTCATTGAATAGATGAAGTGAAATATGAAATGAATTTGCTCCTCATTTGCCATTTTCAGTAACACATTTCATTTCCCAATTCTTTTATAGTATATACTTGCATTTAAAGCTCCCCTGTATCTTGCAATAGCAGTAATAAAATTTTAATTGTTACATAATAATATTTGTATGGCATGTTTCTAATTAATTCATATAACCTTGATATCCATAGTATTCAGCCTTGGTTTAATTCACTGATGAAAAAGCAATTACATAAAAGAGTAACTTTTGAATACTATGACTTAAGCGATAACAAGTAGCATAGAAGCTGCTGTTGTAAATGTATGCATTTGTGTAAATTATGCATTTGAACCTTGACAGCACATAGTTATGGCCACTATGATCTAGAAGACACTAATCTGTGAATCCTCAGCCTTGGTTCTAGATGCACAAACTCTGTGTAAACTGACTTTCCTGTCTATTGTTTAGTCAAAACAATGAATTAGGAATAAGGAACTGCATCTAGTTCAAGGTTTCCCAATCTTGGCAAATTGAAGGTGAGTGGACCTCAACTCCCTCTGGAATTCTCAGTAATTGTCCGTATACCTGGAACTGCCATTGTTGGGTAACCATGATTCAGCACCAGAAGCTAGGGTTCCTATCCAATAACCTCAGCCGGTTAAATAGGGTGGATTTGGAAACCTGGATTTTTACTCCATCTTATTTATTTACAAAATGTCTACCCCATATTTATTCACCCTACAGCTTACAGGTGCGTAACTCCTACCAATAACATCCAAGTAAAATTCTTTCCAAAAAAATTGCAACACAAAAGCCATTATCAAAACCACTTAAAAACCACTTGTGCTATTGCCCAAAAATGTAACCGTTGCTAGCCACCTCCTGCATCTGGATTAGGGAACTGCCAGCCTCTTCTTGCTCACTGAACATAACAGAGGTGTGGGAACAGATAATTTCAATTGCTGGGAAAGAACTCCGATGGAAGCCCTCTGGACCATATCAAATCCATGGTCTGAAAATTCCTCATTCCTGCAATAAATCATGTCATCACATAACAACAGGATTTCTAGGTATGACTGAAAATCAGCTCTGAATAAGGCAAGTCTGAGACTTTAAAAAGTTTCAGTATGAATTCATGAAATCACTGATTAGTCTTGTGAAATGGCACTTTTTAACATGAGGAAATCCTGACACAACACATGGGTTACACAACAGATGATCTCTCAAAATATTATACAGGTAGATTCACAAAAACCATGAAGGTGAGGTTATATTTAATAGTTTATAGTTGGCATGACACAGGAAACCAGCTATTTATTAGACAGGTTTAGTGTGTTCATTAAATAGCAACTGTGATTCATTAAATCATTTAAAGCTATGTGAACCTGGTCTATTATATTTGTATGAAAAATTTAGGCAATCCTAGTCAAATTGTATGTTTCAATGGAATTCTAAATGAACAAAATTGACACAATCTTTATGTTGTTTCTGTGCCTTTGAATGTATATGTAATATTTACTTACAGTTCTTTACAGTTTTAAAATGAGAATGGGCGTTGGTTCTTACCTGATACGCCTCTTCTCGTTGAACTGCGTAGAGCATCCAGAGAGTGGGAGGTGCTCCAGTCTCATGTCGTACAGGCTGAGCTATAATTGAGGAACGCCCTCCTCCTCCACGTGACTCCTCCTTGCGTTCTCCAGTTTTACGAAGATGAGAGAACAGCAACAATCCTCTAACTGAACTAGAAAAACAACTCTCAACAACCATAAACAACATCATTGGCCGAAACAGGATTCCCTACCAGACGGAATAAAAAGGGTGGGGCTGGATGCTCTACGCAGTTCAACGAGAAGAGGCGTATCAGGTAAGAACCAACGCCCATTCTCCGTAGAACTGCTGCGAGCATCCAGAGAGTGGGACATACCAAAGCATGTTTGTCCTACGGGTGGGACTCCGTTTGGGTCGGAATCTCCTCTGGCTCTCTCGCCACCTGTTGAAGGACTCGCCTGCCAAAAGATGTCTCAGCGGAGGCATAAGTGTCAATTCTATAGTGTCGTATAAAGGGAGATGGGAAGGCCCAGGTAGCCGCCCTACAGATGTCATGAATGGAAGCCTGAGTAGCCCAGGCTACCGAAGTAGCCGCACTCCTGGTAGAGTGAGCAGTTATCCCACTAGGAACCGGCAGAGCTTGAGCCAAATAGGCCTTAGAAATGGTAGCCCTAATCCAGCGACCTACAGTAGACGGGGAGACTTTGCAGCCCAGCGTCTTTGGCTGAAGAGAGAGGAAAAGGGACTCAGACTTTCTGATAGGCTGAGTTCGATGGATATATATATGGAGAGCTCTGCGCACATCGAGGGTGTGCCACTGCCGTTCCTTCTCCCGCACAGGCTTTGGACAAAAATTAGGCAGGACCAATTCCTGTGCTCTGTGAAAGGCCGAATTGATTTTTGGCATAAAGACAGGGTCAGGCCGTAAAATCACCTGATCAGGATGGAAAACGCACAGGTCCTTTCTGACGGATAGAGCTGCAATTTCAGATATCCTTCTTGCTGAAGTTATTGCCACGAGAAACACCACTTTAAGTGTGAGATACTGAAGCGAAGTTTCCCTGAGAGGCTCGAAGGGAGGTTTAGTCAGCGCCGTCAGGACCTTATTAAGGTCCCAAGTCGGGTATCTGTGAACCATTGGGGGGCGAAGGTTGGAAGCCCCCCTGAGAAAGGCCCTGATACGAGGATGGTGGGACAGTGGTGCAGACGAGTCGCCAGGAACCACCGTTGAAAGAGCCGAGACCTGCCTTCTCAGAGTGTTAGGGGAAAGACCCCTGTCTAGGCCGTCTTGCAGGAAAGCCAGAATCTGCGCAACGGAAGGGGAGAGCGGGTTGATAGAAGATTTACGACACCACTTGGAAAAACTGTTCCAGGTTGCATTATAAATGCGAGTGGTCGAAGGGCGTCTCGCTGCCATGATGGTAGTGATGACCTGGGCCGATAGGCCCTCCACACTTAGTTTTTCCCGCTCAACCTCCAGACGGCTAACTGAAGCCACTGCGGATCCAGATGGAGGAGAGGGCCTTGGGACAGGGAGATCCTGTCCCATGGAATCCTCCATGGTGGGGCCACCGACAGGTCGCGAAGGTCTGCGAACCACGGTCTCCTGGGCCAATACAGTGCCACCAGGAGAATCTCTGCCCTCTCTAGTACCAGTTTCCGAATCACCCTGGGGATCAATGGGAGAGGAGGAAAGGCATACAGAAGACCGGAAGGCCAAGGGCAACGCAGGGCATCGTAATTCTCTGCTCCGTTGATGGGGTATCGGGAGAAAAATCTTGGTGTCTGAGCGTTGTGCGGAGATGCGAATAGGTCTACCAGAGGCAGGCCGAAGATCGTCGCTGCCTCCTTGAACAGAAGATGAAGGCGCCATTCCGCTTGGTCCAACGCGGCCCTGCTGAGCCAATCTGCGCGAACATTCGAGGCTCCCGAAATGTGCTCCGCTCTGATGGATAGGAGGTGTGTTTCTGACCATCGACACAGCCGCTCGGCCTCCCTCATGAGGCGAAGAGAGTGAGTGCCCCCTTGGCGATTGATATGCGCCTTGGTTGTGTTGTCGGTTAGGACCAGTATGTGATTTTTTTGTACCTGAGGGAGGAAGGCCTTCAGGGCCAAGTACACTGCGTGAAGCTCCAGCCAATTGATGCTGCAACGCCGCTCGGCGGCCGACCAAACGCCCTGGGCTGAAAGGGAGTGCAGGTGGGCTCCCCATCCGGAAAGACTTGCATCTGTAGTGAGCGTGACTCTTGGAGGATCCTTGAATAGATAGCCCCTGTTGATAGAAGGTCTTGTCCACCATAGAAGGGAGGCGAGGACTCTTGGAGGGACCTTCACCATGAAGGTCCCGTCCGGAGCGTTGATACGGCAGAAGGAACCACTGCAACGATCTAGAATGCAAACGTGCCCATGGAGTAATAGATATGCAGGAAACAAGCTTCCCCAGCAGCTTGGATAAATCAAGCAAAGAGGCTTTACCAGACCGCCTAATGGTCTTGACGGAGGTTTGTATGCTGACGAATCTATCGTGGGAAAGGAAAACCTTCTCCCTAACTGAATCAATGACAGCTCCTAAATGGGCTATATGGGTGGAAGGAGTGAGTTGACTCTTCTCCCAGTTAACAAGGAAACCGTGAGCCTGCAGCACCGAAAGGGTGGTGGCAGTGTCACGTGTAGCCTGGGTTTGGTTGGGCAAAACAATTAAAATGTCATCAAGGTAACAATGAACTCGGATTGGAAAGTGCCTGAGGTGGGCCGCTAGAGCTGCTAACACCTTAGTAAAGGTCCTTGGGGCTGAAACAAGGCCAAAGGGAAGGGCCACATATTGAAAATGCTGAGTATTATAACAAAACCTCAAGTATTTTGAATGCGAGGGGAGAATAGGAATATGGAGATAAGCCTCGGATAAATCCTCTGAAGTCATCCAGTCTCCCTTTCTGATGCTCTGCAAAATGGATTGAAGGGTATGCATTTTAAACCTATGCCGGACAATATATTGATTGAGCCTCTTCAAATCCAAAATGGGCCTCCAGCCTCCAGAATGCTTAGGGACTAAAAAGAGGAGGGAGTAGAACCCCTCTCCCTGCTGTGAGGCAGGCACGGGCTGGATAGCCCTAATATCAGCGAGATGCTTGATAGCTGATGACATGAGCGCTCGCTTGGTCGGGTCTCTGGAGAGGGGAGAAACCATGAAGTGTTCTGGTGGTTGAGAATGAAACTGGAGAGAGAGACCGAATTTAACAGTGTCTCTGACCCAGGCATCCGAAGTGGATGTTTCCCATTGGTCAGCAAAATGCCTAAGGCGGCCGCCAATGGGGTAGGAGGCGGAAGATCTATCTGGGCCTCCTTCTGTTCCCTGAACCTCTGAAGGGCCTTCTGTAGCTTCCTCCCCTCCTGCCTCTGTCACCTGAGTCGCCCCTGTCTTGATAGGTTGGCCGAAAGGACGGCGAGGCCTGATATCTAGGGGTGAAGGAATGGTGGAAGGAGGGATGAAAGGAGCCCCTCCGAAAGGGCTGGGACCCTCTGGCTTCTGGTTTACAAAAAATGGACGGGAGAAATTTCTTCTTATTGCGCGTCTCCATTAATAACGGTTCTAAGGCAGGCCCGAACAGCTTCCCCCCCGAAATGGGAGCTGAGGCTAACTTAGACTTATTTTTTACATCGGCGTGCCATTGCCGGAGCCAGAGTAGCCGATGGGCAGCCATGTGTGAGGATATGGCCCGGGCCGAGAACTTCACGGAGTGAAAGGTGGCGTCGGCCGCAAATTCCGCCGCGGCCGTGAGCTTGGCGATGTCCTGCTGGGCTCTGGTGTTTGAAGCGGGGACATGTTGCTTTAGTTGTTTGAGCCACCTTATGGAAGAGCGGGTAAAAAAGGAGGCTGCTGTGGCCGACCTTATGGCCCAAGCATCTGACTGATGCACCCGCCGGAGCACCAATTCCACACGTTTATCTTCAGGTTTAAGTGCCTCCAGAGCGTCAGTGGGATTAGAAGAAGAAGAAGCCAATCTAATGATAGGGTCGTCTACCTTCGGAGTAGCCAGCATAGCTGAGAATTACGGGTCGAGATTGAACAACCTCTTATCCTGGTTAGAAGGGGCAGGAGAGGGGCCTGTCGATGCCAGTTGTCTTGCTACGAGATCGGAGAATATTGGAGGGGTAGGAATTACCTCAGTCTCAATGATGGGATGACTGAATATGGAGTCTTCTTGACCCCCTGGGGTAGCAGGAGACGGCTCAGAGGTGGACTGAGGAAGAAGACCTGAAATGTTTTTAGCCTTAAATAATAAGGATTTAAACAACTGAGGCTTGAACAGGCCCACCATAGCCGGTTGCTCAGGGGAAATGCCCTCGTCCTCTGACATTTCCCCCTCCATGGGGTCCACTTCAAATAGGGGCTCAGAATAGTGCAGTGACCCTCTATCGGAACCTTCCTCTTCCCCGAAAGACTGAAAGTCCCCTTCCTCCTCCACCAGGGCCTCCTCACCCTCCAGGCATGGAACTTCCAATTGGAGAGGTACCTGTCCCTGCTGTGATGCCGGCCCGGCGATAGGTCTAGTACAGTGATCCCCAACCTTTTTGACGCCGCGGCCCGGTACCGGCATCAGCTGGGCGCCGCCATCTTTTTTTGATGAAAACGTGCTTCCGGTGAGCTTTCTACCCGGAAAAGCTCACCGGAAGCACTTTTTCATGAAAAAAAGATGGCGGCGCCCAGCAAGCCGCGGACCGGTAGTTGTTCCACGGACCGGTACCGGTCGGCGGACCGGTGGTTGGGGACCCCTGGTCTAGTAGACACGGATTCAAACCCAGGCACCATTCCTTGAGGCTCCGCCCTTGAAAGTTGCTGCATGCCTTCAGCGATCCCTTGACGGATGGCGAGCTGCATCCACTCCTTGATACTGTCTGGGATAATAGAAGAAGCCGGGTCTTCATGTCGTAGGCCCGCTGCGGTTGGCGTAAAAGTTGCCTCGGGAGCACGAGGGGTCTGGAGACTCCGTGTTGAACTACACCTGGAGGGGGAAGACTGTCCTGGCGAGGGAGGTTGGACAGAAAGAGAGGGAGGAGCAAGGGCTACAGAAGGCGAGTCCTTAGAGCGTTTGCTAAATTCTTTCTCCAGAGCCTTATGACGCCTCAAGGCATCCCTTTGGGAGGCACTGGAGGAATCCTTGTCCCTTGTGCGTAAATAGTGGGTCTTGGATTTGGCCTTTAAGGAAGGCCCACTAGGATTGCCCTCTGCCATGATACCAAGAATATAGGAGAGGCGGTTGGTGCGCCTAGGAGTTCGGCCTATTGCTCAAGCCAGTTTTCCTAAGGTTGGGCCATGTCCCCCTTTTGGAAAGGAAAAGGGAAATTCCCTTAACTATCTATCTACTAGTAACAGCTCAAGAATAATCAAAAAAGGAAAGATTTTGAGGCTGCAAAAAAACTGATCTAATTAAATGAATTTTTTTTGTATTTTTACTATTTATTATATTTTTTTATTATATACTTTTTTTTTAATAAAGGTGGGCGGAGCCCAAAAAGGATGATTAAATTTGAAAGAAAACTTAATAAACAACTAACTAAATATCAACAGTGTAAAAGGGAAGCCAAATGCAACGCTGAGGCCAGTGAGAAAAAACAACCCCTATATATAAATATAAATATAAATATCCACAGACAAAAAAGGGGTAAGAAGGCCTCCTAAGGCAGCCTCCCAGCGAACTTGGAAGGTACGTGCCTGCATCCCTGAGTGAGTTGCGGGCAATCAAACAACAACCAACTAAGGTAAAAGAAGGCAAGGGAGAATAACAGGGCATGGAGCCACGGTATTCTCACTAAAAATCAGGCTCCACGCGGCCTATTGATCACGCTGTGGGCCTACTAGCAACCACGCAACTTCAAAATGCTCAATCAAAATGGCGCCGACCACGAGGCGCGCCTAAAATGGCCGCCCGTAATGGTGCTAATAACTCAGAGACACACCAGCCCCTAAACTCAAGAAAAAGGCAAGGAAAATTAGAAGGGCTGGGAGAAGAAGCAGAGCTTCCTCTGACTGCGCTAGTGGGGGGAAGACGCAACGAATCGGAAATAAATTACAACGAAACACGGCTGGCTCCAGGGAGCGCGATTTGGGAACAGGCAGAGGGAGAAGGAGGGGGGGTGGGGGGGGGCAAAGGCTCCGACTCCCCCTATCTCCCCCTAAAGGCGAGAAACTTCGCCAAGGCAATAATTTGGGACCACACAGCCAACGCAAGGAACAAGGATCAAGAAAAAGGCAAACCTGAGATAGGAATAAAGGCAAGGAACCTGAAACGGCCAAGGAACAAAATAGCTGCCTGTCTTGTCGAAGGCTGAGCTAAAACTGGGGAACGCAAGGAGGAGTCACGTGGAGGAGGAGGGCGTTCCTCAATTATAGCTCAGCCTGTACGACAAGAGACTGGAGCACCTCCCACTCTCTGGATGCTCGCAGCAGTTCTACGGAGAATTTAGGTATTTATTACATAGAATGTTATTTAGTAGGAGGAGTATAAAAACAATTATGTAAAGAGATGACAAGTAGTTAGAAATCTTTCTATAATCTTGCAGGTTTACTTGTACAAGGAAACTTCATCTTACCAAAATTGTTCTTTGAAGATTAGAATTAACACTGCTGAACATCAATTTTCCCACTATTGTGGCGATTGTGGGAAAGACAAGAGCTCCACATAGGATACGAGTCGCAGAGACATGATCTGCTAAAGGGTTTGCCTCAGCTGGAATACGAGGAACAGGACATCCAATCCCTGAAGAAAAATACCATTGCTAGCTACATATTAGGAGATATATATATATATATATTTACACATTTCTATGCAACAAATTTTTCAATACAGTATTTTAATTTTATTCACATTCAGAATTCTTTATACTACTATATTTTTGTATTAAATTCCATTAAACAATGTATTATTTTTAATAATGCCATACAAAATAAGTTTATTTTTTATTTTTTTGGTTTTTCAACATACCTCGTCAATTGAGAACCAGCAAAAAATGTGCTAGGCAGGCTTTTCCTTAAGGAAGGAGAAATTTGCTCTACCATTTCATTCTTTCTCATTGAAATCAAGCCTAGCCTAGACATTAAAATTTTATAGCATTACCTGGAAATATGCTGTTCAGTATCTGCAGTTTGTTAGAGTACTTTCGCCACAATCTAAGCACATAGTCTTCCCAACGGATCATCTTTCCCAATATAAGCATAACTGGGATGGTGGGAAGTCCAATCAAAAGAAATAATGGATCTGCTCTCTCCATGACATCAAGGCCTTCTTTATGACCTACGACCTGACCAAAACAAAACTACACATTACTATGTTACTATTACAAGCATCTCATTTTTGTTAATACATAATAATTTTAGAAAGGATACTCAAAGAATTTTTAATCGTGTGTTATTAACCCAATCTGGTCCTTTTCAATTATGAAAGCAGAATAGTTTCAGTTGAACAAATCTATTTAGAAAATATTACAGAAAAGCTGGAAAATACCAAATCACTTCTGGTGAATTCAAGTAGCATTATATTACACTATTGTACTGGGACAAAAAGCCTTTCCTCTACACAGCCATTAAAAGGACGAGGGAAAGGAAAATTGGAAATTGACAAACTATATTTAGCACCATTTAAGACTCATAAACTATTTTTATCATTTGTAAAGTATTTCTTTTGATATAGTTTTCAAATCTGTTGCAACATGATATTAATAAGTTGTGTTGGCAGCATAAATATATATTTTTTAAATTGAACCTTTATTAGATTTTAACATCCAACATTAATATACAAACTAACATAAAGGGGGAAAAGGAGTAACAAAAATTAAAAGTGACAAAATATACACCAAGCAAACATAACAAAAGTGACCTCTCACTTTCTTTTAGCATATAGATAGATATTAACAATACAACTAACAGCACTAGCTTTGTCAGCCAAAATATACCCTGTGGAATATAAGCAACCCAGGTATCTGAATCTTATCAATCTAGATAACTATTTAAGGCATTAAAACTGAAAAATGCTCATTACATCTGAATCTCTTTTAGTTATAGAGTTCTGCTCTTAGTAGAAATATTTTAATGACATTAGCTATATGAAGAAGCTGGGTTGTATTTGCTTGATATATGTAATTAAAAATGCCTTCATGCTTGATAAACCTGAATTATAAAGGCCTTCAGATATGGGAATATAAACTCTCCCTGTGTCAAGCTTGTAACCAATGAAGATGTCCATGTGGTTTTATAACAAGTTATATAGAGGTTTGACACTGCCTTCTTTTGTCATTTTTTTGTTTTAGAGGGCCAGACAATGGAATGGCTCTCAAATGTTATTTATGGCAGTCTCTTATTTCTATAGGTGGTCTCATATCCAGAAATGAACCTTTTTTTAAAAAGATCAGTCAAGATCAGTGAGACATTGTCACTTCCTTTATCACAAATGTCTTTACCAGTTGCTGAAGTAACACAGATAGTATTCGACTTATGGAACTGGATTTCTGGTCATAAATCACTGCATTTAAATTGAAGCATTCACATGACCAGACCCGATTTTACATCATTTTTTGCAGCAGTCATTAAGCAAAACATTATGGCTGATAAGCAAGCTATGTGTGAAGCCATTCTTCTGAATGAATGTTTTTTGCTGGCAAAAAAGTTTGCAAAACGCATTCACTTGTCTGTGGGATGTTGCAATTGGTTGTAAAGATGACCCACTTGAAAAGTGCCCAAAATGCAATCATATAACTGTGGGAAGACTGAAATGTGTGTGTGTGGGGGGGGGGGGGGGGGGGGCATAACTTTTTATGAAGGCCAGAAGTGCTTTATGGACCAAAAAACACATTTCAGGCCCATCATTATTTTGAATGGTCATTAGTTGACCAATTGTAAATTGTAGAATCATAATGACAAACGTAAGGCAGCTCAAAAGGAGCAAAACCACCACAAGGACGAAGGAAACATAATCTGGATCTAGGTATATTAAATTAGGTTTTCCAATCCTGCCTTAGAATTCTCTTTCTTACCCACCCTCAAGGGCGTCTTCAGCAAATCTCTAGCAGTTTCCAGCTCAATTACAGTAATTTAACATTTAGAACATTATCTGAACCTGCATCACTGTTACAGCTCCATAGGTGACAGCTGTCCAGTAGATAGAGCCCACCATTATTCCAGCTGCAGCAAATGGACAGGCTTTTGAGATAAGACGATCTGCTAAGTCCAAGACATAAACAACTGGACCTATAATGTAAAGAAGAAATGAGTTTCTGTAGCAATAATCAGAAGCTGACAAAGGAGCAACTGGAAAATGAAAGTTACCGTATTTTTCGGTGTATAAGGCACATTCCCTCCCAAAAAAAGTGGGTAGAAATGTCTGAGCATCTTATACAGCGAATGTTGCCAAAGTCCTGCCCACCCACCAGCCCCCACCCACCGGCCTCTGCCTCCCAGCAATTTGCCTCCCTGCAGCAAACAGCCTGGTCAGCTTCAGCACAGCCTGATTGTCGGTTGGATCGGCCTCCTGGAATACCAACAATCAACTGTTCCAGTCTGTAGGGATCGCCATCTCCACCTCTGTGCACCCCATTTTTGGCTTCAGCGCGGCCCGTTTTTGGCTTCAGCGTGTCCCACAGGATGCACAGAGGCTTAAAACGGGGCGCGTGGAAGCGATGACAATCCCTGCAAACTGGAGCTGATCATTGGTATTCTGGGAGGCAGATCCAATTGACAATTAGCTGCTCGTGCTAAATCAGGCTGTGTTGAAGCTGACCAGGCTTTTTGCTGCAAGGAGGCAAATTGCTGGGAGGCAGAGGCAGATTTTTTTTTCTCCTCAAAAGCTAGGTGCGTCTTACAATTCGGAGTGTCTTATAGTCCGAAAAGTACCGCATGTTTTATTAGTAAATGTTATAATTGTATAAAAAAATTTCTTTCTGCAGCATAATATATTCAGACTTCTAATCCATTATTGTGCCTTTCCAAGTAACTAATTGTACATCTGTAATACACATATTCTTAAACAATTTAATCCTAGTTTTTCTCCTTAATTTTATTTTCATCCTTATCCCAATTAGTAACTGTTCTTAACTCATGGACCTCCATATATGGATTTCTTACTGTTTCCAGTGATGGCACATCACATTTTTCCTCTGTCCATTTTGCAATTAGTTTTTCTTCAATGTGGCTCAAACGCAGGCCATTAGCAGTAACTCTCCTCCAATGCTGCTAAATTACCTAATACTACCTCAGTGTATTTGCACTTCGATTCAGGATGGTTTAGCCAATCCTGAATTAGCTGATTTATTCCCGCTCACTGCAAATAGCAAATAATGAACTGAGCAAGGAAGGAGTAGCACAGCATTTTGTTATGTACCTTCTTTAGTCATGTAGAGGAAACACCACTCAAATCATCCTTTCTTTGAATAGGTATCTGAAACTGATTGTGGGCCATTCTAATTTTGTTGCAAAGGATAAAAGAAATGTTGGGGGAAGCAGTGAAAATGCTTTTAGTGTAGAGATGCCCAGCCAATTCACAACTACAATCACCTACAAATATTAAAGAACATATCCTACAGATGTTAAAATAGTTCCTGTAATAAAAAGAGCATTGAAACAAAATTAACAAAGAATAGTATTTTTTCTAGCTCCTTAAGGGTATCTAATAGCTTAGATTGTTCTTTGCCTACATTTTTCTATTTATGGTTGTATGGTTTGTAACCCACCCAGACTCACCTTATCGGGGCAAAGGCACCATATAAATTTAATCAATCAATCAATCAATTAATTAATTGAAATTTATTTAAAAGAGTACAAAAAACTTTGCAACTTGATCTTAAATAATTAACAAATTATGAAAAAGATGTGGGCCAATATTTTCATGAATATATTTTCACACAATATTTTTCTTAAGATCCAGTCTTAAATTATTCCCCTTCTAAATTAAATTATCTAACCAAGCTGAGCAAAATCCTTACATTTCCTCACCAAAATTACACCAATAGTTCTAGCCTTTTTATTAAGGTGAATGGGTCACTATAAAATATATTTAGAATAGGTTTTTATTTAAGGCAGTAAAATTTAGAAATACTATGTACTATAGGTATGGATACAACGGTTTTAAAAAGTGAAGACTGTATGAAAATGGATCAGTCATACTGTGTATATTCTCTTCATTAAAAGTTATGCATGACAATTTACCAGATGTGTCATATGCAAGTTGGTAGCTAGATTTTTTTTTAACTTTCCAGTCTAGAGTTAAGAAACAATAACTAACTTAGATCATAGCCAGCTTCTATGCCTAAGGAAGACTACAAATTGAGGGTTTTGTTCAGCTAGCAGCTGAAATATTACCCTAACCAGATCTTTTATTGTAAAATACACATTGTTTATTTTTTGTAAATATTTGCTATTTATAAAGCTCAGAATTTTATTGAAGATGTCAATACTATATGAGCTCTATTTTGCATATTGGCAGGTTGTGATTGGTTTACTCAAAACGCAGCTGAATAAAATGCTGACATTTTTTTCAGAAAAGTCAAACAGACTGCAAAAGAATTTCCTGCAATGGATTGATTTGGGATAATAATGATAATAAAGTCAATTGCAATAGGCAGTTCTACTTGGAACAGCTTAAATCCTGCGACAATATCTTTTACACCATCAAAAAAACAATATCTGCCTATCCCAGGTCTTGGGAAAATACTTGAGTGGTGAATAAAAATACCAATCCAGCCTAAATATCTGTCTAGCAGTGTGAGCAACCACAATAATTTTATATGTATTAAAATTGGCAGATTTCTGTGTGATTTTTTTCTTCAGCATAATTTCATATTAAGGAAGCAAAATGATTTATAAGCAAACACATGTAATGCTGACATGGGCTAAAAACAGAAGTATCTTTGTATCACTGAACTTTTATACTTAGACATTTATACCTACTTTATTACCGACTTGTTGTCTAATAATAATTCTTCCCTGATGCCATAAATCACACTGAAGATCTCATGTAGGATAAAAAAAACATAATAAATATTAAGTGTTAATGGAAAACCCTAGTTTCCCACACCATATCCAAATTTTCAAATACAGGAAACACACACTTAAAATCTAGGCGGAAAAACCTGTTTCAGTCAATATGTGTGTCTTACCTAACTTTGGAAATACTATCAAGTATTCTGCATTGCACTGTGGACAGGCAACTCGAGCTGTACTGTTTCCTCTTTGTTTTTCATCCACCCAACGCTGCAGACATGTTTGGTGAACCCATTTTGTAGAGCCTCTACATCTACATGGTCTCACCCATTCTGCTGTTCTGTCATCCTCATCAGTAGCAAAACAAACCCAGCAACTCCTGTAATTCAAACACAAGTCTTATCTCAGTTACAATTACAAACAAGACCAAGTTCTTCTTAGAAAAAGCCACACACCAAAGTTTAACCTAGAAGCATTTTTAATGTTTTATTCATCAAAGAAGAACACAATAAAAATACCAAATGAAAGGATCACATCTTTGACTAGTATTTGGAAATCTGAGTTCCAACGAGAATCTTTATCAACTTTTACTTCTTCTTTGGCAGAATCAATCTACTACAGGATGAATGTCTCTTCCTGTTATGGACCATGATGTTTGTAACATCCAGATTACATCCACTCAACCCACCAGAGCAGAGAGGAAGGGAATGTTGTGGCTCCCCTCTCCTAAGGAGATACATCTGGTGGGGCTAGAAGGGCCTTCTCCATGGTGGTATCCTCCCTTTGGAACATCATCACTGTAAAGATTAGACTGCCCCCCATTCTGACACTCTTATGCAAGACCCTGCAAGACCTGATTTTGCCAATAGACCAGAATAGGATGGAGTCCATCAGGTGGCTTGTTTGATTGCTTGTTATTGTGGGGAGGGATGAGGGTTATTGTTTTTACTTTTTTATATTATGTTTTTTATTATTTGTAACCCATCTTGAGGCTAAATTGGATACAGTGTGGAGATCCTGATTTTATGTCCAAGGCTGGAAGAGACGAGATGGGGCAAAATCTTGCTTAGTGCACATGGACTTCTGAGGATCTAAGATATTATGCTAACAACTGTCCTCTAGAAATGCTGAGTAGAAAACATTGCAGAATACCCAATGACACTTGGGTCATATGAATATAAGTAAGCAGCTGGGAAGCATCTCCAATTCTTTGATTAATTTATTAATTTATCAGTTTCAATTTAATAAATTTAATACATTTACTTTTAACTTAAATTGTTCTGAAACTCAAATCCACTGTTTAATAACAGCTTTAGCCTTCTCAAATTCTAAGAATAGATGTTTGGGTGAGAGGCAGATTAAATATAATACTCGTCCACCACTTAGGCCTATAATTGTCAAATGTTATTAATGAGAGGAGCCAAGTTAAACCCTATCTGAACAAATAAAATTACTAGCCAAATGATGCCTTCAATTCTGAGTACGTAGCTTGGCTCTAGTCTCAGGGTTGCACTAGGAACATATCCAGGATTTTTTTAAAAAAACACATCTTAAGAAATCTTGTTGTGCTTTTTGAAGTTGGCATAAGCACTTAAGGGCACATCATACAATAACGGTGTAATTAATTGTGCAGCAAATCATTTGATAGCAACAGGAATAAAGTTGCTTCCATGCATTTAATGAAGTCTTGTAAAAGTGCTGCGGCAGCACTTCTTTTGTGTCCAAGAAAGGCGTAATAAACGTAAGCACTTTTCTTTTAGAAGCCTGAAAAAGAACTTAGATAATTAAAAAAAATAACTTGCTCTATGTCATGGTTGTCTATATGGTTATCTTTCAGTCCTGGTACTGTTGGAAAGCAACATGATTTCTGTTTTTTTATAGTTAATGAGTAACTGCATCTCTTTACAGCAGGGGTGCCAAACTGGTAGCCTGTGGACCTGATGTGTCTCTTGCAGGCCACGCCCACCCCGGCTCTGCAAAGGCAAAAAATATCGTGATACGTCACAATACGATAAGAGTTTGACACCCGTGCTCTACAGTGTTGTAAGACTATTAAGACCCTTTTGGGTCAATGACAAAATAATGGCATCTTAAGCATAAGCCAAAATAGGTAATTTTTTATCAACGTGTGAGGGGCATATAACTCTAACCCAGGGGTATCAAACTTGCGGCTCACAGGCCAGATGTGTCACACCCTGGACATGCCCACTCCAGGTTTAGCAAAGGGGGAAAAAAATCACAATATATCATGTGATGACATGACAACGTGAGTTTGACACCCCTGCTCTAACCCCTGCACACATTTGATAGGTAATTTATAGTATTTTTAAAAACACCTTTTTGATTTAATATTTGTATTAGGGACAAATTTTGGTTGAAAGGCATAAATAGAAAAATACAGTCATGGATTCAATGGATATCTTGTTCTAGTTGTAGGGGAAGTGATAATTGATAATTAAATATAACTTCTTTAGTTCTTTATTTTATTCTTGCACAAAAGGATAATACAATATGATCCTTGAATTTTTAACCAAAATACTATGAAAAATTTCCTACATAATGCAAATATTTAATTAAAAAATAATAATCCCGCAAAATAAAGTACTGCTGTAAATGTTATTATAAAAATATCTATTAAACAAAATAGAAATGCAAAATATATTTAAGATCATAATTTTAAAAATTACAAATTATTCTAATAAAAGGAACAAAAGGACATATTCATTATTTTTATTTTAACTCACAGTAAGTCTGATGGTTACTTCATATAAAGTGGAGGAAAGGAAACACAATATATTGGAATATTCTTGTAGCAACTCAACAGACTAACAGAGTTAATGTTCATTTGAATGAGAGCAAAAATAAAAGCATCAGTGGATCATTATATGTACTTATCAAATAGGTTTTTCAAATAAGTTTAAATAATGCATACAGCATCACAAACAATGGCTGAATTGCAAAAGAATTGTATAATTATTTTTATAGTCTTGAACCTTTAGCATAATATGAATAAATATTATAACGGTAAAGGATTGCTGTCTGTCAGAAGATTTATCTTGTTATTGATATAGGAGAACACTAAATAAAACCACTGACTTAAGAATCTTAGCTCTTGCCACATTTTCCATTTTCTTGTAATGAATAAAACATTACTTTTAGCTAGTAACGTATCGGACAGCAATCTAAAATAGAAACAATTTGCTATGTCAAACAAAACACATCATCTCGTGGTCCTTACTATCTCTTAAGAAAGGTACAATAACCTTTAATGTTTTAAAGATCTTGGATATGGTTTAAAAATCAGGTTTTTTAAAAAAAAATCTATGTATCTATTGCTTTTTACACAAAATACTTTCATACGCAAAAGACAACTTTTTGCATTTTTTTCACTCACATATCACTCAAAGATATTTCACTGAATGATTATAACCTTCCAGAAGTGGTCTAAAATTCTTTCTTCCAATCAATATTTATAAAAGGCAAACTGATCACATTTTTATTTTCTAGCATTTTGTGCTACAAAGTTGGCTATTACATCTGTTCAAATTTTACAGAAAGAGATTTATAGAAAGCCGAGAGTCAGAATCACACTTTTCAGCTAGTGTGAGATTTACACTGACAGTTTTGTTAGCCCTGTGTGTGATAAATTAGGATAAAACAAGAATATACGCATAGTCTTTTTACAAATCTAACAGTCATTTTCAAGGTGTCAACACAATTATTACCTTTCATTTTTATGTTAGATGAGGAAAGAATAGATTTGAACAGTTCACAGCATTTCTATGCAGGATGCAACAATCCAAAATATACTGTTGGACATAATAAGTTTATTTATTTCTTACTTTTATCCTGCCTTTATTATTATTTCATTATTTTTATAAAAACAATGAACATACATAATACTCCTTCCTCCCTCTATTTTCCCACCAGAGCAATTCTGTCAGATGGATTGGAGTGAGGGAGAATGATTGACCCAAGGTCTCCCAACTGGCTTTTACGCCTAAGAAGAGACTTCTATAATCCTAACTATTCAGAGCCCTTAAAGGGTGGTCTGAAGGTCTGCAGAGCTAGGAGACTAGAGACTACCCCATCCTGGATTCTCCCTTCGGCTCAGTGGAGAACTCACAATCTCCTAGTTCCCAGGTTAGTGTCTTAATCACTAAACCAAACTAGCTTTGGTTTACTTTTACTAGCAAAGAGTTTACTTTTCTCTTTTTAAAATAGGCAAATAATAAAATAACACTAAAGCTTCAGCAACATTCAACTTATGCAAATAAAGCAATACATTTCAAAACTTTCAACTGTTATAATTTTTGTAAATTTTGAATACTGACTCATTTGTATTTGACTGTCATTTATATCCTAGTTCTAACTAAGAATAAAATTAGACTGTAAAGAAGAAGAAAAAGTTGTATCTAAAAATAATTGCAACATTTTAATGAACCATTTTAATGAACCATTTTAATTTATCTGAAATTAAGCATTGGACTGTTTTTTAGGGTATATTCAAAGCACTAAAACATATCGGGTTTCAAGAGTAGGAATAAAGCTTTAAAGTGAAGCAAAACTGGTACAAGGCACTGTTTTGTTCAGAACAGTATGAAAATATTTAAAAAGATCCTGTTAAAATATATTTAATTATACTTTCAAGTATATTTTAATCTACAAGATAGAATACTTCGGTTTTTAGAACTGAAAAGGCATTATGTGAACAATCTTAAGCAGCAATTTAAGCACTTAATCTCAATTATATTTAAAGATTTTACAAGCTTCGTATTGTAGCACTAAACTAAAATATGCTTTGTCATTCTGTCAGTAACACTAATCAACCACTCTTCCCCAGCACCTATCATGGTTATTAATTTATCTTGTCAGTAACTTCACAGAAAAAATAAAGGTGAGATAAAATGCCTTCTTAAATTAATCCTTCTTTGGGGAAGGTGATCTTCTTTTAATAAACATGTGAACAAAGATTCTAAATGCTATTGACAGCAGAGTCTTGTTTCACCTGTTATGTAAAAAGCTTAGAACATTTATTTTCTTTCTCAGAACAGACAGGGAGCAATGTGCTAGTGTATCTAAAATAATCATATTCTAAAAACTGAATTCTGGTGTTTACATATGGAAAACACTTAGCATTTGGAATAATTTCTCTTCACATTCCTTTTTCAAAATAACTCCCATATTTAAAGAATAAAAAAGGTTCCAATTTTTTTTGTATGGTCTATAATTATGTGGTAATTAGCTTTAAAAGTAATGCACAGTTGAAAATGGCATTTTAATATCAATGTAAGCACATAAAAGACTACATAAAAGCAGATACAATCATTTTTTTAATGGAAAAATGTGACAATAATGTGACATCATAATTATCATAAC